GAAACACTTGACATGAATGGTGTTTACTGCAAGAGATAGCCAGTACAGCAAGCCTGTAAAGACTGAATGAGAGGGATGGTAGGGTGCCATTCATAGCTGAGTATCCACTTTGCATACAGGCTGGCATTAACAGTAAAGCCAGCTGGCACCTACACTCCATTTACCATGCGACCTTTCAGCAAACTCCTAAGCAGTTTAGATTTCAGGCCGTTTTAAAGTGATTTCTTTCAATTCATGTTCCAAAATTTTGGCAACTCCATAGCTCATCCACCTATAAAATGGTTTTAATTATTGGTTCAGAGAATTACTTAATTAACTATTTTATATGCTTAAGAAGCACTTAAGGTTTCTACGACTAAGATGCAAGTGAGGTGTTAGCTAGTACTTGCAAGTGAGGTAGGGAGATGTTATGAAGCAACTGACAACAGTAATTTTTCTCACCTTGCTTTCAGATTTCACAGAAATAACAGAACTCCCAAATCTTGATAGTTCCTGTAAATAACATTGCTTGTTATAATGCTGCTAGTTTGTGTTTTTTTTTAAATAGGACCTTTTAGTTTCAGTAGTTTGTTTTCTGTTTACTTACCTCAGGAGAAATAAGGACATACTGTGCCTGAAGAAGAAAAAACGACAAAATAAAATTTCAATTGAGAGAACCATGCTAGGGGAATAGAAGACCAGTACAATAATCCTGGCTCCTAAACAACAAAGTCAGTTAAGAATGAACAGGAGGAGCCAATTTGCAGAGATTCAGAAACATGAGTAAACCTTTTGTTTTGTGGACCCAAGTCAGAATGCACTGCATGTTTGTACTGGATGTACTCATGTCCTATTTTACCTTTCGTGTATTCTTACCCAGTCCTCAGGACAGGGAGATATCCATGATCTGCAGTGACCTGTCACATTCCCTGAGGATGCCTGCTTTCCGTTGTAAATATAAACACGGCCAGCTGCCCCACCAAACAGTATTGAGGAGATGCTATTAGTTCTCAGTGGGGATGTCACAATCATTTCATCTGCGGGTATTACAAAGATGACATAACACATCAGAAGGAAATGAATGCTAAACCAAAACGCGAGAGAGAGCTGGCATTTACATACCTCCAGATGTCACAATTCCTATTAATGATGGCAAGTAAAATGTTTCAATTTCTGACTGAGTTGCTTGGGATTTTAGAGAGGCCTCTCC